AGGAGGCGGAGGTTGTGGTGAGCCGAGATCGCACCATTGCACTCCAGCCTGGGTAACAAGAGTGAAACTCTGTCTCAAAAAAAAAAAAAAAGAAAAAGAAAAATTTGGCAGGCTTGGTGGTACACAACTATAGTCCTAGCTACTCAGGAGGCTGAGGCAGGAGGATCGTTTCAGCCCAGGTGCTCAAGGTTACAGTGAGCTATGATCACAGCACTGCACTTAAGCCTGGGCAACAGAGAAAGACCCTGTCTCTGAACACAAACAAAAATTTACATCAGTATAAATAAGATATTTCTTTTGTACTTTGGGTTATAATCCACTGCTATTCTATTATTTATTCCCTTGCTCAATTGCTCCAGCTTTGGCCATAGGGAGCTCTTCTGGTTCCTGGATCCCTTTGACACACTCTCATCCTTTTGTGTTTTGAGCACTTCCTACCTCGCTGACACCACAAGACACTCCCTGCTCATCTTTTCCCCGTCCCAGCCCTAAAATCAGCTATCTCTCCAAGGAAATAATGTATTTTTAAAACAAGTTCTCCAATTACCTTGTCAATAGTCCAAATATATTGCACCGAATTTGAGTGCATGATTAAAAAAAAAAAAAAAGTTAATTTGTTCAGTAACCATTTAAAAACGTACATCAATTTTCATAGCCCTGCTGTAACAAGTCTTTTTGAAATATACCGGGAGTTGTTCAGGCGTGGTGGCTCACGCCTATAATCCCAGCACTTTGGGAGGCCAAGACAGGCAGATCACAAGGTAAGGAATTCGAGACCAGCCTGACCAACATGGCGAAACCCCGTCTCTACTAAAAATACAAAAATTAACCAGGCATGGTGGCACATGCCAGTAATCCCACCTACTCAGGAGGCTGAGGCAGGAGAATTGCCTGAACCCAGGAGGTGGAGGTTGTAGTGAGCCAAGATTGCACCACTGCACTCCAGCCTGGGCGACAGAGTGAGACTCCGTCTCAAAAAAGAAAGAAAAGGAAAAGAAATATACCAGGAGTCTCAAACATGGGAGGTATCTGGGCCTTTCTTCACTTCCGGGAGGCCTCGTTGAATTTAAACATCACCTCTGCGGCCACTCTGCTAAGGATTGGGGGCAGCCTGCCCAGCCTTCCTACAGAGGCAGCCCAGTTCCCAGGTCACCCCCAGGCTCAGCTGCCCAGTGAAGCAACTGAAAGCCAAGGTCATGGGACATTTCCCTCTCCAACCTCACATCCCAACCCCCCATGACCCTCAGACAGTGACTAGTCCATAAGCTTTTTAGACCTCACCTAGGCTGGCTGGGCACAGGCAAATAGATGGTAAAAGACCAGGCAGGCTCCAGGAAGGAAATTGGCCAGCCCAGCCGCCAAGACAGGCGTGGGAGAGGCAGAGGGGGATGTGTGGGCCTGGCATCAGAGAGTTGCTGGGGATTAGGGCCGAAGTTTGCAAAATCCGGCTGTAAATGGAGCAGGGGTTCCCCGAAGAAGCCCTGGGTTCCGTAGAAGAGAGTCAGCTTCTCGGGAAGGAGCATGAGCCGGAAAAGAGCAAGACTGTGGTTCTCTGGGAGGGCCGGGAGCTTCATGACTCATCGCCTGGTCCCGCTGGCTCTTATCGGCACAGGGCTGGGCAGCAGAGGGTCTGGGAGCAGGAGCGGAGTCCTGGTCTTGTTGCAGTCTCAGAGAAGGTCCTAGGCTGGCAAAGCATGTTTGGACATAGGCAAGGTGTTGTGGAGGCACTTAGGAGGGTACAATCCAGCATCAAAGGAGTCTTGGCTGGCCTCACAGAGGAGGTGACATCATCCAAAAGATGAATGGAACTGGCCAGGAAGCAGCTGGGTGGGAGGGAGGGAAGGGCACTCTGAGCACAGGAAGAAGCAGAGCAGAAGTATGGAAGTGTCTGCAAGGTGCTGGCGGTGCCTACACCCAGCGAGCACTCTATAAATGGGAGGCGTTATCTCTGTGCTCGATTAATACTGTCATTATCACTATTCACCTGGACACGTCACTTCATAGTTTTACTGTCTTTTTTTTTTTTTTTTTTTTTTTTTTGAGACAGAGTGTCGCTCTTGTCACCCAGGCTGGAGTGCAATGGCACGATCTCGGCTCACTGCAACCTCTGCCTCCTGGGTTCAGGCAATTCTCCTGCCTCAGCCTCCTGAGTAGCTGGGACTACAGGCACGCGCCACCATGCCCAGCTAATTTTTTGTATTTTTAGTAGAGACGGGGTTTCACCACGTTGACCAGGTTGGTCTCGATCTCTCGACCTCGTGATCCACCCGCCTCGGCCTCCCAAAGTGCTGGGATTACAGGCTTGAGCCACCGCGCCCGGCGGTTTTACTGTCTTAAAGGTAGTTACTACAGCGAATAAATGCTTAACATCCCTGAGCTCTTCTCAGCTGTAAAAGGGGCTGTTGTGAGATTAGGGGAACAGCCAGCACTGCACTCAGCTGGAGTGACAGCGAGCATGTGAGGTGCCCGGCGTGGTGTGTGAGCTGGCACGCGGCAGGGGAAATTATGTTTCCTCTCTCCTCGGGCTGCCAAGCCCCTGGAGCTGTTGTGCCTGGGGGGGGCACAGAGAAGGGGACACTTTGGGGTCTTCAAAGATGACCAGCCAATAAAGCAGGAACATGGCTAGGCAGGGACAAGCCCAGAGGAACAGCCTCAGGGCCCAGCTAGAAAGGCATACGCCGGCCTCACCCCAGTCTTTGGTGGCTTGCCAAACAAGCAGGTGTGGATGGGGAGATGGACTTTTTGAAATATACCAGGAGTCTCAGACATGAGAGGGATTTGTGTCCTTTCACAGGACACATGGCTATGATGTGGTAGAGGGAATATAAGAAAGGACTGGCACACAGCCTTGGAGAGAGCTACATGAGTTCCAGCTCCAGCAGCCCCCGGAACCTGAGCAAGTGACTTCATCTTTCGGAATCTGAACATCCATTTCCTCTGCACAATTTCATTAAAATACATACAAGAATATCCAAGCACAGTCTTTGTAATAGAAAAATAATCCTAGAAACAACATCCAACAACAGGTGAAATGAGTAAGTAACCTGTGGTATATTCATAAAATGGGACACTTTTCAGTAGTAAAATAAATTACAGGTATGCAGGCAATCAAAATGGATTTTTAAAAATATAATGTGGTATGAAGAAAGAGTCACATAATTATGGAATGATTCCGTTTACACAAAGTGAAAAATAGCAAAACTACACAATATCCTATTTAGGGATGCATACAAAGGTGATAAAACTGTAAGGAAGGGGCCGGGTGCGGTGGCGTATGCCTATAATCCCAGCACTTTGGGAGGCTGATTCGGGTGGATCACGAGGTCATGAGTTCAAGACCATCCTGGCCAACATGGTGAAACCCTATCTCTACTAAAAATACAATTATTAGCTGGGTGTGGTGGCATGTGCCTGTAATCCCAGCTACTTGGGAGGCTGAGGCAGGAGAACCTCTTGAACCCAGGAGGTCAAGATTGCAGTGAGCCGAGATTGCACCACTGCACTCCAGCCTGGCGACAGAGCAAGACACCGTTCTCAAAACAAGCAAACAAACAAACAAACAAAAAAACTACGAGGAAAAGCAAGAGAATGACTAGCACAATCAAAATTCAGGAAACTAGTTCTTCAGGATGTGGGGAGGAGGCTGTGATGGGGGCACCCAGAGGGCCTCAAGGTACTGGCACTGGGCTTTTTTAAGTTAGGTAATGGATACATAGCCTTTTTATTATTACTATTATTCTTTAAGGTGTGCGTGTATAGTTGTGTCTATGGCGTCTTTTATAATTAAAAAATTATTATAACACTAGCACTTACAGGACACATGCCTATGATGAGGTGGAGAGAAATGTAAGGAAAGAAAGCTCTGGTGGCATGCGGTCCTGTCCTCCAGCATGTGGGTTCTGTGTTCTCTCTGTCTCTCTCTCTCTCTCTCTCCCTCTCTCTCTCTCTCTCTCTCTCTCTCTCTCACACACACACACACACACACACACACACACACGCTGGCAGCCAGGCTCCTCTCTGCCCTTACTCACCCGTGGTTCACAAAATGGCAAATAAAAGGAGCACTAGAATAGGAGCTCTGCATCCTGGTTCAAGTTTTTCCAGCTGGGCAGTTTAGCCTTGCAGAATTTCTCAAGGGTAACATCAGCAAAATGACCTCTGTAAGCTCGTGAGTAGATACTGTAAAGTGCTCATGCGAGGGATCAGGTCTGACCTGGGAAACGGAAAGCATCTTTATGGAGCAGGGGTGCTCCTCCAGCGCGGGCGATCAGTGAGTTCTGCTGTGTTGGTGACAGTATTCCTGTGTGGACACTCAAACGTGGTGACTGGGGTAAATGGGGTAAATGGCCCTCTTTTGCCTGGTTTTCTGCCTCGGCCATTGTGCATCTGCTGGTTGAATCTGCCTTTCGGTCCTGGTAAGGTAGAGATTTCAGGAAAGCTGTACCTGGCCCTGCGGGTGGCCCACCTTTGTGTGACGGCTTCGAGCACAGTGTGTCTTGAGGGGGCCTGACTCCACCTGAAAAGTGCCTGTCTGGATGCACCTGTCTTTATAACTATGGCTCTGCCTCCAAGGTGCGTGGACCAACCTCTGTGTACCGGATTCACTCGATAGCGCACCTGGTGTAGCTTCATCAGGCAGGATGTACCTCAAGTTCTTAGGTACGAGCGTTCGCGTCTTTACCTGTCCTAGTAAAGTGCCGTCCGCACCTCAGTCAGTGAGTCCCCGACAGGTGCGTGTACCTGGTTCGGTCCGTGCTTATCTTGCGCGTACGAGCCGTTCAGTGTCCCGCTCGGAGTTCGTCGCCGCCCCGACCTTGAGGCGGTGTCCCCAGGCCCCTGATCCCACCCCCTCGCGGGCCCCGCCCGGCGCACAGCAGCCCCGGGGGCAGGGCGGGGGCGGGGCCGGGGCGCGGGGGGCGGAGCAGGAAGGGGTTCGAAAGCTCCGCCCCCGGGGCGGTCTCCCGGGAGGCCCCGCCCCCCATCCGCTTCCGCGTCGGCGCCTCACCACCACCTGCCCTATAAAGGCACCGCTGGCCTTGCCCCCGGGACTCGGCCCCATGGAGACGCCGCCGACGGCGGGTGGCGCTCGGCGAGGTGAGGCGAGGCGGGGAGGGCGCAGGCCGCGGCAAGGAGCGCTCCTTCGGGGTCCGAGCCGAAGGGAGGGGAGGGGCGGGGTCCTGTTCCCCCGGCCCGCCGGGCCTCAGGATCCCTCCAACTTAGCCCAAGTTGGGAGGGCCGGGGAGGAGCACCCGGGTCCGGATCGGGGGCCGAGCGAGCGCGGGTCTCAGGCTGGGACAGCCTCGGCGTCACCAGCTCCCGGCAGCCAACCAGTTTCCCAGCAACTTTTCTCCCCGCGGGTCACTCCGGAAACTTGCACTCCCCGGCTCCGGCAGTCCGGCCACAGGCCTGCGCCCCTGGACCTAGGCTCTGAGTGCCTGACGGGTGGGCGAAAGATATGGCCTTAGTGGGGAAGCCCCAGGATTCCATCTGAGAGCCCCGTCCCTGCCTTCTGGGCCCCCTGGGTTGGCGTGGGGGTGAGAGTGGGAGGTGGAATCAGACTAAGTTCCGATCCTCAGGCCAACAGCTAACAGCTGGATGACCTTGCTCAAGGTCCGTGCTCACGTTTTTATTGTCTGCCTCAGTTTCTCCCTTCATAGAATGGGAGTGGGAATACCTAGCTGGGAAGGCTTTTGAGAGGACAACCTGAGATAATCACAGGATGTAGCAGCGTGTAGTGCCACCAATCCCTCCTCCTGCTGGGTGTGGCGATGGGACTGGGGGTGGGAGAGAGCGCTGTTCCCCATCCCTAACCCTGTTGGTGGTTCAGTAGGAGCTGTGGCAAGTGCCTTCCAGGAGTCTGAGGTATGAGTGGCCCCTGTGGAGAGAGGCCTTTGTCGGAAGCCAGCCCCGCCATGAGTCTGTGGGACTTTGAGGACAGCCACAGCCGTCAGGACACCCCCAGGCCGGCCCAAGAGCCGGCCGCTGAGGAGGCCTCAGCCTTGGAGCTGCAGATGAAGGTGGACTTCTTCCGGAAGCTGGGCTATTCATCCACAGAGATCCACAGCGTCCTGCAGAAGCTGGGCATCCAGGCAGACACCAACACAGTGCTGGGCGAGCTGGTGAAACACGGGATGGCCACCGAGCGGGAGCGCCAGGTCTCACCGGACTCTTGTCCTCAGCCCCCTCTAGTCCCGCGGGGTGGGGGCACCCCTAAGGCTCCCAGCCTGGAGCCTCCACTCCCAGAGGAGGACAAGGAGGGCAGCGACCTGAGACCAGTGGTCATCGATGGGAGCAATGTAGCCATGAGGTAAGTGTCGCTTCTGTGGCAAGGATACGTGAGGTTCACGTCCCTGCTGTGACTAGGACATACAGAAGGGTAACTGTCTCTGCAGCTCTGATGGGCTGGAAGGAGTGACTTCCTTCTTAGGGACTGGTCTGAGGGAGGGAAAGCCTTTTATGAGGCTTGCCCAGCGTCGTGCTACTGGTGAGTGACAGAGGCAGGGATCCAGCCCAGTCCCCTCTGTCCGCAGAGCTCACCTTATGCTGTGGGTCCCCTGGGGCCAGTGCTGTGTCTCCACTCCTCTCGGCAGGGCTGTGTAGGGAACCAGCTTGTGGGCGGCAGCTCACTCCACTGAACCTGATCTCACCAGGTGGGTCTTGTGAGGATGGAGTGTGCAGATCCCGGAGAGGAGCAAGCATTCAGTAATTGTAGTAGTGGTAGTAGTGGTAGTACTGGTAGTAGGTACTGGTAGTAGGTAGTGTAGGTAGTGGTAGTAGGTAGTGGTAGTAGGTAATGGTAGTAGGTAGTGTAGGTACTGGTAATAGGTACTGGTAGTCGGTACTGGTAGTAGGTGTGGTAGTAGGTAGTGGTAGTAGGTACTGGTAGTAGGTGTGGTAGTAGGTAGTGGTAGTAGGTATTGGTAGTAGGTAGTATAGGTAGTGGTAGTAGCAGTTGTTGTTTTTCAGAGACTGGGCTTCTGAGACCTTCTCGTCTCATACCTGGGCTCCCACTGAAACAAGCTCAGCCACTGTGTTCAAGAGTGACCTCAAGGCTGGGTCCAGCTTTACTGAGCGGTGGGCAGGTGGCCTGATGCTCTGGCCTCGGGTAAGCTGCGACTTGGATCCCTGCGGATTCAGCTGAAGCAGCCTGGGCTGGACTGGTCTCTGGGGGTTCCCTGGGACCAGAGTCAGGACTCAGCCCCAGTGACTCCCACCCCTACCCCCAAGCAGGCTCTGGCAGGGGGTGGGGGCAGAGGGGGAAGCCAGGACTGCTGCTGACCTTGGGGAACCCAGACTTCTCCCATCAATCCAGGCCCCACCCTCTGGCCCCACTTTTTTCCCCAGTTCCCTCCAAGGCAGGCTGGTGAGTCAGTGCTGGGTGGATGCCTCACAGGGAAAAGTTCCTGTTGGCATGGACAGGGAGACCCCAGACATGGGGTTGGGAAGGGCTCCTTTACTGGCTGCCCCAAGGCTGGCATGACATCAGCCTCTGCCCTCCCTGACTTGTCCCTGACTCGTGGCCCCCACGGGGTAAGTTCGCTGTCCAGCTGGCGCTGGCCTGGCTCAGCAGGCATGCAGCTGAGCCCTCTTCCCTCCTTCTATCACCTTTAGGCCAGTCTTCCTCTCTCTGACTTGGGCCGAGCCTGGGTGGGAGGCTGAGAAAATCCAGTTCCTATGCCAAGAGGCAGCAGGTCACAGCCTGTGCTTTGAGATGACGGGGGTCCCCCTGAGTGTCCAGTCTCCTGGGTGGGCTAGGAGCTAGGCTGGATCTGTGTGACTCCTTCCCCTGGAGGCGTGGGCCAGGAGCGGCTGTGCCCTGGGAATAGCCCTGTGCTTCGGTGTGTGTTTGTATCCAGGAGGAGGGACGTAGGAGGAGGGGCTGTGATGTTTGGGGGTGCTCAGAGGGAGCTTGCTCCTAAGAAGCAGAGCCACCCACCAGCCTCGGGGGTTTCTGAGCTGGGGTAGTGGCAGGAGGGGAATTCCAGCCTCAAACTTCCTGTCTCAGCTGCTACTCGGTTCCTGCCCGGCTACCCCCCTCCCCAGGGGCAGATGGGCTAGCCCCCATCGTATGCAAATCATGGGGAAATTCACCTCTGTTTCCTTCTAAGGGAATTTTTCTCCACTCGCCAGGCCCAGCCCAGGCATATCTTTTCACCTGGGGAGGCTGGCCCAGCCCTGCCCTCTGTCCTGGGGCAGAAGCAGCCGACTGGAGCCTTCTACACACACATCCTACCAGTATCTGCTAAGCCAGTCTGGGGGACCCTGACCTTCCTGGCAGAGAGGACTGGGGTGGGGGTGGGGATGTCTGGTTTTCCTGTGCCAGCAGAGCTTCCTCCAGCGCAGTGAAAGAGACGAAAGCTAGCTGCCTGGGAGAACTCCAGGCTCATGTGCTCCACCAAGAGAAGGCTCTGATAGCGCCCACTGATCGCAGTTTTTCCATCTGCTGAGGGAATATTCAGGTGCTAGGGCTGCTGAGAGCCGACTTGTCCCCAGCCAAGATTTTCAATGCCCAGAGGCACTGCACTGCCCTGGGAGCCCTGGCATCCCATTAGTTCCCAAGGCTCCAAGATACTAGCCTAGGATCATGTGCCCAGAGGGAGGCGGGTGGGTGGATACAGGCACACACTGCATACCTTGGATGGGCTGACCTAGCTGCCATGGTTTTGAGAGGCAGGGCACAAGGCCCAGGGAAGGGGCTGATGTGATGGGGAAAGCACTGGGCATTGTGAAGACACAGACCAGGGACCTGACCCCTCGTGGGAAGTCAGGGAAGGCTTCTCAGAGGCAGTGACATCTCACTTGGGTTCTGAAAGAGGAGCAGGAGTTTGCCAGTGGCATTGTTTCTCCCGTTTGCTGCCTCTCATAACACGCTTTGTTCAAACTCAATTTTGGGAGCTTTGTTCTCCCAGATAAATTCTGGGTCTTCTGTTAGAGACAGGAAGGCAACCGAGTGGCCCAGACCTGGGTTGGAGTTCTGACGATCTCTTACCACTTGGACCAGTCCCATAGCCTTCCTTTCCTTCATGGTAGCAAGCCCTGTGAGAATGAAGCCACGGATCTGACCGCCAGTGGGAGCTCGGTATCTGCGAATCCCTGCTCGCTCCCTGTGGCCAGCGTGGGTACCTGCCTTTGCACCTGCCTGAGCATCGCCGTACATGGTGGTGATGCGCACAGGCCCTGGGCCTGCGGCTCCGTTCCACCGTGACTGCTGTGTGACCCTGGTGACTAAGCTACCCTCTCTGGACCACAGTTTTCATCAGAAAAACAAAGAAGTGGGTGCTTTGGTGCCCTTCTCACAGGCTTGCTGATGATTCAGTGTTAGGCACTTAGAACAGGGCCTGTCTCCCTGTAATTTAGAGACCTGGTGCCCCAGGCTTGCCCCTGAGGCTGCCCCATGGCCCCCAGCTGCCCCACCTCCCTCCCTACCTTTTCTTAGGGCTCCAGCTGTCATCCCTTACCTCCCCCCATTAAAAACACCCACAGGATGTGGTCGGCCCTGGACTTGCCTCTTTTGCGTAACATTTATTCTGTTTTACTTGCCAAATGTGACAGTCTAAGCTGTTAACTGAGGGGGCTGTGAGAGGCAGGGCCGCTGGTCCCAGGAGCTCTTCCGTGGTACCTAGTGTTACCAGGGAGCCCCAAGCCCTAGTCCCCTACCCTCAGGAAATCCAGTTGGAACCCCCACTTTGCAGGGCCATCTTTGGCCTGAAGCCACCCTGAAAACTATCTCGCCAACTGGCCCCTCTTAAACTGCAGACTGCTGGGCCCATTTTCAGATAAACAGAGCTGCAGCAGCCCAGGAGCCCCGCCACACCTCCTTCTGTCCTTCGGGCAGCCACCTGTGGGAGGGGCACGGCTCGGGCTGAGACCAAGGCAGAGCCGATGTCCCCTCACCCAGCTGTCCTTGCTGAAAGGCCCCTAGTGTCTTCCTGATGGTTTTCGTACCTTGGGGAGAAGAGGCATTTGGGGGAATTGCCATCCTGGAAGGAAAAGCAGTATCCTTTCACTTTCAGGCTGAAAGGCTGCCAGGGAGCCTGCCCCGCTCCGGGGCTTTCTGTCCCATGCTGAAGGCTGGAGTCACCAGCCCCTTCCCCTTTGCCCTTCTCAGGCCCCAGCCCCTGAGGTGTGTTTGAGGACTGAACTTTAATCCGGAACAATCTGGTTTCTCCTCGGTCAGCCCCGACCGGTGCTTCCCCCGCCCCCACCCCCGCTGCAAGAGGCTGCAAGAGACGAGGGAGGGGTGGTGACTCAGTGTGCATGTGTACATCTGTCCCTGTGGTCCCAGCAGCTCTTCGGGTGGGGCAGGAACCAGAAGTCTCCCAGCACCTTTCCCCCACCCCCAGGTGTGTTGCAAGTGGCCTGGCCCTCCCCCACCATGGGGAGCTGTGCTGCCAGCTTCCCTGCACTTCCTTACTTTCTGAAGCCTCAGGGAAAGTCCCAGCAGGGTCTGGCCATCCTGGAGCTGTGGGAACTGGCACTGGGAATGGAGGCCAGGGCCTGAGCCCCACTGCTCACCACCACCCCGCTGCTTACCAAAGCCAGGGCAGGGTTGGGGGTGACCACCTCCCTCCTCCTGCTCAGGCCTAGGGGGTGGCAGGCTGGCCACCAGTGGGGGCTAACCCTGTCCTCCTCTCCCTCCCAGCCATGGGAACAAGGAGGTCTTTTCCTGCCGGGGCATCCTGCTGGCAGTGAACTGGTTTCTGGAGCGGGGCCACACAGACATCACAGTGTTTGTGCCATCCTGGAGGAAGGAGCAGCCTCGGCCCGATGTGCCCATCACGGGTGAGTGGCACTTCTGGAGGTGGGATAGTCTCGCTGCCCCAGCCACCCTGGTTCCCCCCAGGAGAGACCCTTTGGGAGTGACCTACAACTTCTAGAATTCAAGCAGGGACTAGCATTTCTTTTCTCTTTTTTTTTTTTTTTTTTTTTTGAGACAGAGTCTTATTCTGTCACCCAGGCTGGAGTGCTGTGGCACGATCTCGGCTCACTGCAATCTCCGCCTCCCGGGTTCAAGCAATTCTCCTGCCTCAACCTCCTGAGTAGCTGGGATTACAGGTGTGTACCACCACACCCAGCTAATTTTTGTACTTTTAGTAGAGACAGGGTTTCACCATATTGGCCAGGCTGGTCTGGAACTCCCCGACCTTGTGATCCACCCACCTCGGCCTCCCAAAATGCTGGGATGACAGGCGTGCACCACTGTGTCCCGCCTTCTTTTCTCACTTTTTCCTGTCCTTAGCAACCCTGCTCTGAATGGTGGTCACTGGACGTCACCTTGTCCAGGCTTCTGCCTCAGATCTGGGGCTCCTCCCTCATCCTACTGGTAGGCAGGTCGCTCTTTCAACATTCCCAGTGGCAGAGGGGCTGTGCACATAGTGGTTAAGCCTGTGGGCTCTGAGTCGAGACAGAGTTGGAGTCCTGGCTCTGTCCCCTCCTGGCGCCCTGGCCGGGCAGGGACCTCTGTTAGCCCTGCTCTGAGCCAGGTGCTCCTCATCTGAAACTTGGGGTCGGGGGTGGAGAGTGTTGACGGTAGTGCCTTCCTCACAGGGTCCCATATGAGTTAACACATGGTGAGTGCTGAGAAGAGTACCCGGCGCATGGTAGATGCTCAGTATATGTTAGCTGTTACCATTGTTCTTGCAAGAGCCCCCAGCCTTTGGAGGTAAAAACAGAATCAGTTTCCCTAGAAGTCTTTAGAGCTGAGGGCAGCCTGGCTGGGACTGCAGGCTCCAGGAAGAGGGGCCCTTTCCACTTGTGCACATCTGTGTCCCCGTGGTCCCAGCAGCTGCCCACATGAGGCATGGTGAGAGGCCTGACCTTTCCCCACCATGGGATTGAGTGACCTTGTCCTGGCAATGCAAGGGGCAGAGCCAGGATACTTCTCCCACCCCAGACCAAGCTGGGGCTCATTCATGGACCCCTCAGAACAGGCTGGGTGAGGGCCAAAGCCCAGACCGCATCTGGCTTGAACAGGCCTGATGTCCAGAGGGAGAAGACAAGCAGGGCCAGCTCTGTGCTTAGAGCGTTTGCCGCACGGGCCCTGCCGTCTGTGCTCAGATGTTCTTGGTCTTCAGGCAGCAAACTGTGCCAGGCCAGGGGAGGGGCTGGGGCATGGAAGTGACCTCGGCAGACCTAGTTCTTGCCCCCGTGACCTTGGCGTTAACAACTCCCGTGCGTGGCCACCAGCAGGTTAGAGAGCCCTGAAGGCCCGGCTCTGGGTCCGCTCCTTCAACATTCCCGGTGGCAGAGGGGCTGTGCCACATAGTGGTTAAGCCTGTGGGCTCTGAGTCAAGACAGCCAGAGTTGGAGTCCTGGCTCTGTCTCCTCCTGGCACCCTGGCCGGGCAGGGACCTCTGTTAACCCTGCTCTGAGCCACATGCTCCTCCTCTGAAACATGGGGTCGGGGGTGGAGAGTATTGACGGTAGTGCCTTCCTCACAAGATCATATGAGTTAACACATGGTGAGTGCTGAGAAGAGTACCCGGCGCATGGTAAATGAGTGGCCACCAGCAGGTTAGGGAGCCCTGAAGGCCCAGCTCTGGGTCCCTCTGGTCTTGACCTGTGTGCACCCCGTCACCTCCCAGACCAGCACATCCTGCGGGAACTGGAGAAGAAGAAGATCCTGGTGTTCACACCATCGCGGCGAGTGGGCGGCAAGCGGGTGGTGTGCTACGATGACAGGTTCATCGTGAAGCTGGCCTACGAGTCTGACGGGATCGTGGTTTCTAACGACACGTACCGCGACCTCCAGGGCGAGCGGCAGGAGTGGAAGCGCTTCATCGAGGAGCGGCTGCTCATGTACTCCTTCGTCAATGACAAGTATGTTCCCGCCCAGGGGCCCTGATGGACTTGGGGTCCACAGGAGAAGCCAGAGATAGCCTCAGCAGGGGTGGAGCTGGAGGCTGGGCTCTGCGGGGCCCTGTGGCCATTGGAGGTTGTGGTCTTGGCTCCAGGTAGCTTTGCAAATGAGACAGACAGCTCACCACGTAGGAGAAATCAGACCGGGACCAGGCAGGCTGGGGGTGGAGAGAGTGGCTAATTTGGGAGATGGAGCCATAGCACTTAGGAGAGGATGTGGTCAGCGGTTCCAGGTAGCCTCTCCACATCCCAACATGGCATCTCTCGAGCAGAAGCCACGGGGCAGTGGATGCAGGCTGCCATCCTCCCAACAACCTCAGACAGGGAGTTACCCTAAAGCTGCCCATGGGCTGTGGCCCTCTGGACCAGGGATCCTCATCTCCTCCCTTGGTATGATCCCACCCAGAGAGCAGTTTTTGGGGGCTCTGGACAGGCCCCAGTTTCAGGCGTCGCTCTCCTGTTCTTCCCAGCAAGGCTTGCCGTCCGCCCCTTCTCAGCAGTTAGAAGTCCCTGCATGGCTCCCACCTCCAGAGAGCTCTTTGCACCCTCTGCAGGTTTATGCCCCCCGATGACCCACTGGGCCGGCACGGGCCCAGCCTGGACAACTTCCTGCGCAAGAAGCCACTCACTTTGGAGCACAGGAAGCAGCCGTGTCCCTATGGTATGGAGCCCAGCCTGCCCTCCCCGGCCCTCCTCTCTCCTGCCCTTCTCTCACCTGTTTGCCTGTGCCCCATTCCTGTTGGGGACCTCCACCATTGGACCACCCAAACCCGTCTCCTGTGCCACCCCTTCCCCGCTCTCACCCCTGGTTCTGGAGTGCCCTTGCTTAGAGTCCCTCGATTCCTCTTCCAGGGAGGAAATGCACCTATGGGATCAAGTGCCGATTCTTCCACCCGGAGCGGCCAAGCTGCCCCCAGCGCTCTGTGGCAGATGAACTCCGTGCCAATGCTCTCCTCTCACCACCCAGGGCCCCAACCAAGGACAAAAGTAGCCGGCATCCTTCACCTTCATCCCAGTCCAGCTCTCTGCTAACAGAGAGTGAGCAGTGCAGCCTGGATGGGAAGAAACTGGGGGCCCAGGCATCCCCAAGGCCCCGCCGGGAGGGTCTAACACAGGCCTATGCCCCATCAGGCAGGAGCCTCACACCTAGTGGGGGCAGTGGCGGCAGCTTCGGGCCCACAGACTGGCTCCCACAGACCCTGGACTCACTCCCATACATCTCCCAGGACTGCCTGGACTCGGGCATTGGCTCCCTGGAGAGCCAGATGTCAGAACTGTGGGGAGTTCGAGGAGGCCCTGGTGAGCCGGGCCCACACCGAGCCCCTTACACAGGTTACAGTCCCTATGGATCTGAGCTCCCGGTCACTGCGGCCTTCTCTGCCTTCGGCCGAGCCATGGGTGCTGGCCACTTCAGTGTCCCTGCCGACTACCCACCCCCACCCCCTGCCTTTCCGCCTCGAGAGTACTGGTCTGAACCGTACCCACTACCCCCACCCACACCAGTCCTTCAGGAGCCCCCAGTGCAGAACCCAGGGGCTGGCCGGGGCCCGTGGGACAGGACAGACAGCCTGGCCAAGGAGCAGGCCAGCGTGTACACCAAGCTGTGCGGTGTGTTCCCCCCACACCTGGTGGAGGCCGTGATGGGGCGCTTCCCGCAGCTTCTGGACCCCCAGCAGCTGGCTGCCGAGATCCTCTCCTACAAGTCCCAGCACCCCAGTGAGTAAGCTGCCCGAGGCTGGCAGGGGCAGCACCCCCGGCCTCCAGTGGCTGTCAGGCTGGGCTTTGTACCATCAAGCAGCCCGTTCCCAGCCCCGAGGCCCATCCCGGAGGCTGGACAGAGGGAGGACTCAAGTCAGAAAGGGAACCCCACAAACCAAAGATACTGTAGGATTGGTTCTGGCCCACACGGCACGTCTAGCCGTCTGAATGGGTCAGAAGCGATCACCCTGTTGATACACATTGTATCTCTGTAGTTTAAGGAGACGCTGCCGGTAACGGCGTCAGTCTGTGGCTGAGGCCCAAACCGTCTTTTCTCTCAAGAGGGTGGGGAGGGAGGTGGGGGCAGCAGAGGCCTGGGCTGGGTGCCCTGTGCACGCCACCCCACTTCCACCCCGCCCCGGGACGTTGGCCTTGGCTGACTAGTTGGGCACCATGTGCCCGCCCTCCGAGGGCCTCCTCTACGCCAAATGAGGCCTCGTTCGTGCTCTCGCTGGGCACGCGGCTTCGTGTCAGTAAGCAAGATGCTTCTTAATAACCCACCTTCTGCCCCACTCTGTTCCTTACCCCGCTGCCCCGCAGGGGTCAAGGGCCCTCTGTCTACACCTTCCTGCTGCTCCTCCTCCATCCTCCGTTCAGAGCCATCCCTTCCCCACAGGTGGGGGAACGTGTGTGTATTTGTGTACACATGTAAATTTTAAATATTTTAAGCGCCAGGTCCTTACCTCCTGTAAAACATCAATAAAGTACAATCAGTGTCAGCCCTTTCAACAAGGTGATTGTCTTTTTTACGCTCAGGGTGTTGGGCTGGCCTCCGGGTGAGGAAAGGTCAGCGGGTGTGCACCTCTGACCTTCTGGCACACCAGCTCCCCGACCCTTCTCTGGAAGGAAGATTTCCAGCGTTCACCAGGAATGCTTAGCCCCTTGCGGATGGGGCATCTTTCCTGAAGCCTTGGTCTGGGCTTTGTTAGGAAGTACCCATGGACACACAGGCCGGCAGGGGCAGGAGGGGGCAATTAGGCAGCAAAAGTGTAAAAGGGCTTGGAGGCTAGTTTTATCTGCACAAAGAAATCTTATTTACAAAATAATCGGGCTTCTGTTTGTTTTTATGGGACAGGAAGCTAAAATACCGGACTGTCCAGTTCATTATCAGCCACTTGGCAATGCTGAGTGACTTGCCCAAGGTCCCACCGAGGAAGGACAGACTGGGGCAGGGCCTTGAGTCCTGTTTCTGGTCCCCAGACCAAGGGGTTACAGGAGGTATGGGCCTGGACACTAGTTTGCAGCAACTCAGGGCCCTGCAGGGATGAGGGAGGTGGGGCTGCCTTCAGCCCCATACCTCACAACTCTCCTGGTTTACAACATCCACATAGGAACCCCTTCAGGCCAGGCACATTGGCTCATGCCTGTAATCCTAGCACTTGGAAGGCCAAGGTGGGCAGATTGCTTGAGCTCCGGAGTTTGAGACCAGCCTGGCCAACATAGAGAAACCTCATCTCTATAAAAAATATAAAATTGGCCAGGTGTGGTGGCATATGCCTATAGTCCCAGCTACTTGGGGAGCTAGGGTAGGAGGATGACTTGAACCTCAGGAGGTAGAGACTGCAGTAAGCCAAGATTGCACCACTGTGCTCCAGCCTAGGTTACAAAGTGAGACCCTGTCTCAAAAAAAAAAAAAAAAAAAGAAAAGAAAGGAATCCCTCCAGCATAGCAGCTGAAATGGCCACCCCACTCACCTGGTCAGCAGCAGATGCCAGTGGCCCCATCTGCCCAGCCCCCTCTGTCTCTGTATACCACAGTGGAGCTTCGAGGCCGCCTGGAGGCGTTAGGGAGCATTCTCACCCCTCTACCCATCCCAGCTGCCAGCTAGCCAGAGCCCTGGGAGTTCACACTTGCTGACTTGCTTCTTGACCAGAACTAAACTCTGGGCCACTTGCTGCTGCTGCTGCTGTGTGTGGGGAGGGATGGGCAGTGGGCAGCAGGCCTGGCTGGCTGTGCTGTGTCTGGAGGCTGGCTGGCCCTGCTGGTTCACTGATAGACACCAGCAAGGGTGGCAGAGCCCAAGTGGCAGGTGCCCGAGGGGCTGGGTTTTGGGGAGGATGGTCAGTTCTGAGCCCCACTGGCCTCAGCTTGCATCCTGTGCTTTCCAGGCACGCCTGGATGGCCCTCCAGGCCTCTTTCTCAGTCTGCCAGGCAGAATGACTCTAAGGCTACCAGGCCAGTGCCCCAGCTGTTTCTTTGCCACAACTTGAGCTTTAACTCCAAAGTTCTCCCCACCACCTCCTGCCCCACTGCCCACACAAGTAGCTTAGGTCACTGGCATTTACTCACAGGGCCTCAGTCTCCCCACCTGTAAAAGGGACACAATGGTCCTTGCCTTTTTCTAGATTTGAGAGGACACATCAGTTCCTGTGAAAGAAAGAGAGTGAGGGGCCCTGGATTCAAGCCCCCCTCCCTAGCAATGCAGCCCTGGGCAACCCACTTCCCTCTCAGACCCTCAGCCTCCTGGCCCAAGGCAGGGATGGAATGTAACTCCTGCGTGCTGGAAGAGATCAAACTTTGGGGAGCTGCCCCAGTTGCTCTTTCCTCCTCTTGTTTTCCTGGTTCCAGGAGCCAGAAGCTGATGGGGAAACCAGCGAGTATGCAAATTCCGGCACTATTGGGAAATGATCCTGGGGAGCTCACAGACAGCCTCCTGCCTCCCCTCCCCCCACACTCCCCACGGGCCCGACTCTGCCCTTGGGCTCTCACCAGTTGGGGCCGAACCCTGCATTATCTTGCGAGTTCTGTCTCACACACATGGGTTAACCCCTCTTGGAGTAAAGCCAGGGTGACTATGGCCAATCTGTCCTCAGAAAACCTCCAGCCTCCCTAGCAGAGAGCAAATCAGCCCACAATGGGATGAAAGTTCCCTGCTCTAAATGTCCCAGCCCAGTCCCAATCCCTCACTTCTCCAGAGTGGGGGAAAACTCAGGAGCCCCTAAAGATCTGGGGACCTAAGCTAGGAGAATTTGGGGGTTTGAGGGGAGCAGCTCTCCAACGCCCCTCCCCCAGTGCTGCTCATACTCCCCGCCCCCGTTGTAGTCTCCTGGGGTTGGGGGGACAGGTGGTGTCTAGGAAGCAGCCAGTATTCTTTGAGCAACTGCAAATTCCCTCCTCTTCCCCCAGCAAAGTTCTCTGCCCTCCCTTCCCCATGCCTCCTGGAAAAGCCAGCATTTGCCTTCTATCCACGGAAGGGAAAGACCCCAGCCCTGAGGGAGGTGCTGGGCAGGACTCTCCCAAGACAAGAGTGAGCAGCAGAGAAAATGGGACTCGAGGGGTACCTATCTAGGAGCTTCAGGGAGGGAAGTGGTGCAATCAGCCTGAGCCCTGGGGCCAGGTGGTCCCTAGAGACGCTTCCCCAAAAGAAGGCAGCCCAAGGACCCTAGCACTTTTGTCCCAGGTTTTCTCAAACCTCTTGCTCGCTTTTTTTTCTTGGACCATAGCAGAGAGGGTGGAGTAGAGGGTGGCAAGGGCCTATTCTGGGGACCTCCCAGTTCATGGGAAGGGTGTGGGAGATTTGGCTGAAAGAGGCAGGAAGTAGAGCCCTGCAATTAAGGAAACCCAAGCCAACCCAGGCCATGGCATGTAAATCCTTCCGGCTAGTTCCTGAAGGGGAGGAGGCCCCAGGCTGTCATCCTGGGGTGTGGCCTCGTCAAGCTCCTCTCAAGGCAGCTGCTGGTGATCTTAAACTGCTCATCCGTTTAAGAAATGTCAGCAAAATGAGGTGAGAGGAAAGGATCTGGCACCCCACCCCACGCCAAGTTGGGCACATTGCTGGGAGGTCAAGTCACTGAACGGTGCAAAGGCTACGATTCTGGCTGCTCTCGTGCTGCATGTGATACCGTGCCTGCCACCTGCTGGCGCTTCCTGGTACTGCTGCCTACGGAGCAGGGGCCTGCCCACAAGCTCTGGCCTGGAATGAAGGGGCTGGAGACAAGGATCTTGCGGCAAGATCTAAAAAACAATTAATCTAAGGAGAATAACATGGGAAGCAAAATGCTAAGGCAAAAACAGGGAATTCTTAAAGGCATTTACAGCTCCGCACTGGAAAGCAACACCAGAGGTCACTGCCATGCCTTCTACAAAGTCTAAAGCTCTAGAAAGTTCCAACTGTTCCAGGTAACAACCCAAGAAAAACTCTCCAGAACTGAAGAATAAAAAGGAAAAGAAAGGTGAGAAAAATATAAACATTCTTTGTTTTTTTCGAGACAGGGCCTTACTCCATCTACCGGGCTGGAGTGCAGTGGCACGATCATAACTCACTGCAGCCTGGACTTCTCGGGCTCAGGTGATTCCCCCATCTGAGCCTCCCAAGTAGTTGGAACTACAGGTATTCACCACTATGCCTGGGTAATTTTTTGGTATTTTTGCAGAGATGGGGTTTGACCAGGTTTCAGGCTGATCTTAAACTTCTGGGCTCAAAGCACATCTACCCGCCTCAGCCTCCCAAGGTGCTGGGATTACAGTCATGAGCCAACATACCCAGCTAATTTGTTATGTTTGTTGTTTTTTCAAGGAATTTTCTTTTTTAGGAGACAGTCGCTCTGTCACCCAGACTGGAGTGCAGTGATACAATCCCAGCTCACTGCTGCCTTGACTTCCAGGGCTTAAGCAATCCTCCTACATTACAACATCTGGCTAATTCATCTTTTGTAGAAACAGGGTCTCACTTTGTTACCCAGGGCAGTCTTGAACTCCTGGGCTCAAGCGATCCTCCCACCATGGCTTCCCATCATCCTCCTCCCTTGGCCTCCCAAAGTGCTGGAATTACAGTCATGAACCAGCCTGCCTGGCATCACTGCTCAGAATTTATCCTACAGGTATTCGTATTTGCAAAATGATGCACATAGGACTATTCACTCTGACACTGTCTGAAACAGCAAACGATGGGAAACAATATTAATGCGATCAACAGATGACTGATTAAGTAAACTTGGGTATACACATGCAACACAATATAAAGTAGCCAATAAAAATAACGAGGCAGTTGTACATATGGAATGTTTTCTGTGTTAGATTGCTCGATGAAGAAAGCAAGGGACGAACAGTGTGCGCAGTATGCTACCATTTCTGTGAACAGGCACACTGCTCATACACATAAAAAGGTCCCTGGGAAGGATACAAAGGACCTCTGGGGTTGCCTCTGAAAAGGGAAACTGATAGCTGAGAGACAGAAGCACTCCTTCATCTTTTTTTTTTTTTTTTTTTTTTTTCTGAGACGGAGTTTTGCTCGTTACCCAGACTGGAGTGCAATGGCGCGATCTCGGCTCACCACAACATCCGCCTCCTGGGTTCAGGCAATTCTCCTGCCTCAACCTCCTGAGTAGCTGGGATTACAGGCACGAGCCACCATGCCCAGCTAATTTTTTGTATTTTTAGTAGAGACGGGGTTTCACCATGTTGACCAGGATGGTCTCGATCTCTCGACCTCGTGATCCACCCGCCTCGGCCTCCCAAAGTGCTGGGATTACAGGCTTGAGCCACCGCGCCCAGCCCTCCTTCATCTTAATATACTTTAGTGCCATGTGAGCTGTGAGCATTTGCACGTTGCTACACTCTGAATGTTTATGTCCCCCCAAATTCATATGCTGCAATACTATCCCCCAAAGTGATGGAATTAAGAGGCTTTGGGGGTGCTTCAATTATGAGGACAAAATGCTCATAAATGGGGTTAGTGTCCTTATAAAAGAGGCCTGAGGCCAGGCGCGGTGGCTCAAGCCTGTAATCCCAGCACTTTGGGAGGCCAAGGCGGGTGGATCACGAGGTCGAGAGATCGAGACCATCCTGGTCAACATGGTGAAACCCCGTCTCTACTAAAAATACAAAAAATTAGCTGGGCGTGGTGGCACGTGCCTGTAATCCCAGCTACTCAGGAGGCGGAGGCAGGAGAATTGCTTGAACGCAGGAGGCGGAGGTTGCGGTGAGCCGAGATCACGCCATTGCACTCCAGCCTGGGTAACAAGAGCGAAACTCCATCTCAAAAAAAAAAAAAAAGAGGCCTGAGGAGTCAGGTATGGTGGCTCACACCTGTAATCCCAGCACTTTGGGAGGTTGAGCCCAGGAGTTTGAGACCAGACTTGGCAACAAAGTGAGACCCTGTCTCTAAAAATAAACAAATAAATAAGAGGCCTGAGTTCAGGTGTGATGGCTCACATCTACAATCCCATCACTTTGGGAGGTCAAGGCAAGGAGGATCACTTGAGTCCAGGAGTTCAAGACCAGCCTGGGTAACATATTAAGAGCCTGTCTACAAAACATTTTTAAAAATTAGCTAGGTGTGGTAACATATAACTGTGGTCCCAGCTATTTGGGAGGCTGAGGTAAGAGGGTCACTTGAGCCTGGGAAGTTAAGGCTGCAGTGGGCCATGAGTGCACCACTGCAATCCAGCCTGGGCAACAAAGTAAGACCACATCTCAAAAAAATTTTTTAAAAGAAGCCTGAGGGAGCTTGTCCTCCTTCCACCATATGAGGATACAACTAGAAGGCACTATCTGTGACCCAGAAAGCATGCCTTCACCAGAAGCTGGCTGTGCTAGCGCCTTGATCTTGGACTTCCTAGCCTCCAGAACTGTGAGAAATGTTTGCTGTTTATAAGCCGTTTCGTATATATTTTTGTTATAGCAGCTCAAACAGACTAAGACACAGGTACTCAAATTAATCAAATATTTTAAAGTCCACCCATCCCCACACCCAGCATACAGAAATAAGTTATCAGGGTGGGGGCTGCGAGCTGAGGAGGGGGCCAGGGGTCTCCAAAGTTTTTTTCTGTATACAAACAATAAAAACCTGAAGCATATACACCTCCAACATGTATGTGCTCTTAAACTATGATAACTGCCATTTTTACAGATTAAAAACGATTATCAGCAGTTTCTTGTGGTTCAACCTTTTATTTATAAATTAACGACCTACATGTACTAATGAACAAATACTGATGTATACAATATATTCAAAGTGAGAAACTAAGTAAGGCTGAGCCTGAAAGTGAATATAAATCAAAGGCCTAATCTTTTCTTCCCACCCCCGCCCAGCCATCCTGTGCGCCCTCTTTCCCTTGGAGGCCACCGTCCTAAGTGAGGATCAGCGTCGACTCCACCACAGCCCACTTCAGTGGTGACAACTTTTAATCCACAGAAGCAGTATTTCAAAGCAAAAACTTTGTTTCAAATCATGAATCTTACCACTTAAAACAATTCGGACATGAGAACGCTCGTTTAGACTGACACAGGCATGAACATTCCAGTCCCTTCTTTTCACTATCTTACATGCACATGACCTTCCTAGGCACTATGACACTATCCTGGGAGAAGCGAATGTGTACAAAGCAGCACAATCCTGCTCTCCCCCCACACTTCACATAAACCAGCACAGTGCCCCTGTAGTCAGGGCTTCAGATGCCAATTTTGTTGTTTTTAGAGACAGCGTCTTGCTACGTTGCTCAGGCTGCAGTGCAGTGGCTATTCACACGCATGATAATAGCACACTATAGCCTTGAACTCCTGGCTTCGAGCAATCCTGCTCAGCCTCCCAAGCAGCTGGGACTAAAGGCACACATGACCACATCCGGCACAATGTGAACTTTTAAGCTTAATAATGCCTCACTAACTAGGCTGGCTCGGTGGCTCACGGCTGTAATCCCAGCACTTTGGGAGGCTGAGGTGAGCAGATCATGAGGTCAGGAGTTCGAGACCAGTCTGGCCAATACGGTGAAACCCAGTCTCTACTAAAAATACAAAACTTAGCCGGGCGTGGTGGCACGCACCTGTAGTCCCAGCTACTCAGAAGGCTGAGGCAGAAGAATCACTTAAACCCAGGAGGCGGAGGTTGTAGTGAGCTATGACTGTGCCACTGCACTGTAGCCTGGGTGACAGAGCAAGGCTCCATGCCCTCCCAAAAAAGAAAGCCTCACTAATTTGGAGTAAGCCTGGTGGGGGCACAGAAGACAGAATAAATGCAAAAACTAAGTCAAAGAGTGTTTCAAGCTTAGGCTCTTTAACTTTCAAGTTTAGACTATTAATCATTCATTTTAATTCTCTTATCTACTGCACAGGTCAAGATGTGAAGAATAGTCTATTTTGTCGGGCGCCACAGCTCACGCCTGTAACCCTAGCACTTTGGGAGGCTGAAGCAGGTAGATCACCTGAGGTCAGGAGTTTGAAACCAGCCTGGCCATCATGGCAAAACCCTGTCTCTACTAAAATTACAAAACTTAAGACGGGCATGGTGGGACATCCCCGTAGTCCCAGCTACTAGGGAGGCTGAGGCAGGAGAATCACTTGATGCCTATAATCTCAGCACTCTTGAAAGGCCAAGGCAGGAGGACTGCTTGAGGCCAGGAGGCTGAGACCAGCTGGGGCAACACAGCAAGAACCTATCATTACAAAACAAAACATTTTCAAATTAGCTGGGCATGGTGGCATGCACCTGCAGTCCCAGGTACTAGGGAGGCTAAACCAGGAAGATGGCTTGAGACCAAAAGTTAGAGGCTGCAGTGAGCTTTGATCAGGCCAGTGCACTCCAGCCTGGGTGACAGAGCAAGACCCTGTCAATAAATAAATAAATGAATAAAATACATAAATAATATTTCTAAGAGCAGTACTAGTCTATCTCTAGCAATGTCAAACTATGAGAGTCAAAAATATTTTAAGGTCTGTTGTGTGGTTTCCTCAGCGGGAAGGAAACTGCAGGCATCCCACTGCAGTTTCATAAATACAGAAATCATCTTTTTAAGCGCAGTACTATTCTTTTTTTTTTTTTTTTTTTGAGACAGAGTCTTGCTCTGTCGCCCAGGCTGGAGTGCCGTGGTGCAACAGAGCAGTACTATTCTATCTCTAGCAATCTCAAACTATAAAAGTCAAAAATATTTTAAGGTCTGCTGTGTGCTTTCCTCAAAAGGAAGGAAACTGCAGGCATCCTACTCCTCCCTCCCAGCAAAGAAGACCAACAGACAAAAGATACAGAATGCTTCTGGGATTTTTTTTTAAGGAATAATCTAAATATAAGAAACTATTCCCTTAAAAATCCTGACATTGGAATTCTGCTACCAAAGACATCTAAATAGCCGGTCAGGAAAAAAAAAAAAAAACCCACAAAAGTTTATTTGAGAACAAGAGTGAAGGCTTTCGCACATCTGACAAGGCAGGCTTGTTTTACAGGAGATGCCATCCATATTCAGCTCTACCAGTATTATCACAAATGAAACATACTGTTTCTTACAAAGATATAGGCAAAAGTCAAGGACTATGACTGACTAGAGTCAAAGGAAAGGGTAGGCCCCAAATCTTATCCCTTAGACCAATTCATAACATAGGATTTAAATTAAACCATTCAGTGTTCTCATATAGTGGTTCTCAACTTGGCTTCTTATCAGAATCCCAAAAACTTTTCTAAAGAAAATCCCAGTAATTAGCCTATGCCCCAGTCTCTGGGGGTGAAATCCAAGCACGAGTAGTTTAAAGCTGTTCAGGTGATTAACGTGCAGCCAAGGTAGATCACCACAGCGCTACAGGCAGGTGACAATTAAGTTCCTCGTCCCATCAAGCCCTCCAACAAAAGGGAACGCTGCTGCCAACGATGGCTCTCACGGACGCTCTCCTTTCACTCCACTGAAGAACTTCGTAAGTTATCACTTTTGGTATAATTTTGAGACTTTCCATATGCCAACCATGGTGATTTTTAGCAATAGTTAATCAGGTGAATATCAGCAAAGAGAGAAAATATAGAAAAGGAAATTTCTATAAGGCATGATATGAACAAACAAAATAAGTGAAAAAAACAATCTCGGGTTTAAAAGTAAAGCATGAGAATTTGAAGCCTGTGGAATTTTATTTATACAAAAGAATAAAAATAGCTATTTAAAAAGAATGGATTTAAACTTATGTTTTTCCATTTTTCCTGTGCCTTGAACATGAATCTGCTTCCAACTCAGATCTAAGATAGGTAATTACTAAATAAACACTCTTGACCTCCCTTGCAAAAACAGAGCGCCAAGTTTCCCATTTTACTTATGATAAACCAGATTCTTTTCAGTTATGAATACTGGCAACTGTATGAAAGAGATGATCAGATATGTCAGCAGGAAGGTATGAGCCGTACAAAGGCATCACACAAAGACCCCAAAGAAAATAAGATGACAAAAACAAGAGAAAAGTAAGAAAACATAAAACAATATAAGAAAATGCCAGATATTTACAGCCTCCATCTGAAATGTGATTTGTGTTCTACTTTCAGCATAAAATAAAACCAGAGAACATTTCTTGATGGGTATCACAGATAAGGATGGTGCCAGCCATTCTGGGGGGAGACATTCATTCTAAGAAGGGAGAAATGCACAGTTAGCAACTTGTTGGAATTACAACCATGTCTTGATCTTCCTGCAGTTCTGTTACTAAAAATGACATGAAGTAAAAGATCCAACGTCTTACAGAAATGACTTGTTTGTCACCACGTTTAAAACAAACTACTCAAAGTCACAGGCACTGGGTCTAGGAGAGCAGAGATGGATGGCCACGAACTCAGGTGAAGGATGTTTATCTTTGTGAGGTCAGAGAAGGGAAGCAGGGTTCTACAGCCTGGAAGCTTCTGCGCTAATGTGTCTTCTAATAGTCCTAAAGAGAGAAAAACAAAAGTTTCAACTTACTCCCGGCAGAATAGTGGTTTGACCCTAAGGGGGAAAAAAAAATCTCATAAACAACTCTGCTAAGGGATTGCTCTGTAGCTAAAGATTGTATTTCAGGCCAGGCGTGGTGGCTCATACCTATAATCCCAGCATTTAGGGAGGCCCAGGTGGGCAGATCACTTGGAGTCAGGAGCTCAAGACCAGCCTGGGTAACAAATTAAGACCCCATCTCTACAAAAACCACAAAAATTAGCCAGGTGTGGTGGCGTATGCCTGTAGTCCCAGCTTAAGCCTGGGAGGCAGAGCTTGTAGTGAGCTGAGATAGCACCATTGCATTCTGGGCAACATAATCAGACCCTATCACAAAAAAAAAAAAAAAAAAAAAAAAAAAAAAAAAAAAAAAAAAACTTAAAAAAAGATTCTATTCCAAATATGATGTACAATATTTTGCATCTGAAAATGGTCTGTCTTTTGAGTCCATAAAGGGTTGAAACATCAATTCTCCTCTTATTAGAGCACCTGAACTCACCAGTTCAAAAAAAAAAAAGCTATTATTAACAATTTATTATTTAATTAAAGGGAATTTTTCATCATTAAAAATGTATGTGATCAGTCAGGCACAGCGGCTCACGCCTATAATCCCAGCACTTTGGGAGGCCAAGGCAGGCGAGTCACAAGGTCTGGAGTTTGAGACCAGCCTGACCAACATGGTGAAACCCCATCTCTACTAAAAATACAAAAATTAGCCAGGCATGGTGGGGCACGCCTGTAATCCCAGCTACTCAGGAGGTTGAGGCAGAAGAATTGCTTCAACTGAGGAGGCGGAGGTTGCAGTGAGCCAATACTGCATCATTGCACTCCAGCCTAGGTGACAGAGTGAGATTCCATTTCAGAAAAAAAAAAAAAAAATGCATGTGACCTTTTTCTCTCTTTAAAATACAAAATCCATAGGCCGGGCACATTGGCTGATGCCTATAATCCCAACACTTTGTGAGGCTAGGGTAGGAGGATTGCTTAAGTACAGGAATTCCCAGACCGGGCATCATGGCAAAACCCCCTATCTACAAAAAAATACAAAAATGAGCCAGGTGAGGAGGTAATGCCTGTAGTTCCGGTTATTCGGGAGGCCAAGCACAGAAGGTCAAGGCTGCAGAGAGCTGTGACTGTGACAATACTGCACTCCAGCTTAGGTGACAGAGCGAGAAACTGTTTCTCAAAAAAATAAATAGGACGGGCGCGGTGGCTCACGCCTGTAATCCCAACACTTTGGGAGGCCGAGGCGGGTGGATCACGAGGTCAAGAGATCAAGACCATCCTGGTCAACAAGGTGAAACCCCGTCTCTACTAAAAATACAAAAATTAGCTGGACATAGTGGTGTGTGCCTGTAATCCCAGCTACTCGGGAGGCTGAGGCAGGAGAATTGCTTGAACCCAGGAGGCGGAGGTTGCGGTGAGCCGAGATGGCGCCATTGCACTCCAGCCTGGGTAACAAGAGCGAAACTCCGTCTCAAATAAATAAATAAATAAATAACACCTACAAGTTGAAGTATATCCAGATGGACACCCCAGACTTTAAATCAAGGGTTATGACTCCAGGTTAGGAACACTCAAGCTCTGAAGACAAATACATTTGTCTAATCATCTACAAAATTGCCAGCCTCTCTGAATTGGTCTGGCTGATACTTACAGCTCGTGGTTTTTTGTTTAACTTCAGATCAATCCTGTGACAGAAAAGATAAAAGATATTTCCATTTTAATTTAAAGAAAATGGGTCCACAATCAGCTACTGCATAGGGCATAAGCTATAACAAAGACTATTTGGTTAAGAAAAATCCACATTCTTCATTAGACTATGTCATATTTAGTTGTTTACCCAGATATTACCAAGCAAGTATTAAAAATTATGAGCAGACACTTTTGCCCTAAGGCAAACTTAGATGACTCTAAAAAGAAATGTATACAGCAGCTACAAAAGCCATATAATTTTAAAACGATTCCAAAACTACATGTTAAAGAGATTGCATTAAGAGGGCATGCTCTACGTTAATGTGTTAGTTCTGTAACTATATCACTGAAAATTATTGAGGCACGTGGTGATTAACAACAGGAAAGAGACTAGGAGTCTGTATTTCCTGACATGAAACACAAAGTAAATTAAATGAATTTCAGTTTTTACATCTTTCCAAAGCAAAATATCAAGATCTTAAGCTATTAATCTCCTTATGAAGCAAAGCCAGAAATCAATTTAAATATGAATTAAAGGTTATCTATTTTAAAAGAAACTAAAATGCATAAAAGTGAAGTTTACTTAATTTTGCTTAAGTTATTAAATAAAATGTTACCTCCATCACGTTTTTCTGTTTTTAAAAAAAACTTCCCAGCCTAACCTAATATATATACCTACAATTAAACAGATAAACTATGGGTTAGAAAGGTCTCAAAAAGGCATACTGGTGTCTACACACTAAACAACACAGCACAAATACTAATTCAAATCAAACTTACTCAAAGTCATAATCAAACATGCCAGACGGGCTGAGGGGCAGCATTTGAAAGGAAGAAAGCAATAGAAATTAATATACTAATTCAATAAATTAGTTGATTAGCCACCCTAGCAAGAATCGTAGAAACAAAATCAGCTTTAAGAATCTTAAGCAACAAAGTTTCAAACATCAAAGCACCAAAGATTTTGTGGTCAGGAGATTCCCTTCCTTCAATGGATGTCTTAATCAGAAGACTAGACTATGAAAGAAAAAGTTATTTCATTAGAAAACTACAGACACCTGCAGCCCTTTTATTAGCTGCCAGATTCAGAGTTAGAACTTTTAAATATTTAATTGTATTGAAAAATATAATTAGGGCATTAGAAGAAACAGAGAAAGAGGTTTAGTTACATAATGAAAGGCACTTTGAAGACAGTACTAACTCAGCATAATATACTTTCACTAAAATAAAAAAACTACAGAACATTCTAAACTTCAAAAAAGGAAAACATTTTACAACTTTTTACTCAAGTTATATGTTCTAAACATGTCCAGGGAACACCATGCTCCTTTTCTACAGCATTCATCCTAGAAGCCCAAAGCTGAATGACTACACTTCAGTGGTGGAAACTTGTTCCAGAAAATGAACAGTATTGCTCTGCCACCTAAGTAGGTGATGGCAGTTAACTGTCTATATCAGGGCTACAATTAAGGAACACAGAAGTGTGGAGCACCCTTCCCCGCTTTTTTTTGAGACAAAGTTTCGCTCTTGTCGCCCAGGCTGTAGTGCAATGGTGCAATCTCGGTTCGCTATAACCTCTGCCTCTTGGGTTCAAGAGATTCTCCTGCCTCAGCCTCCCTAGTAGCTGGGATTACAGGCTCATGCCACCACACCCAGCTACTTCTTATATTTTTAGTAGAGACAGAGTTTCACCATGTTGGCCAGGCTGGTCTCAAACTCCTAATCTATCCACCTTGGCCCAGGTGATCAACCCACCTTGGCCTCCCAAGTGCTGGGATTAGAGGCATGAGCCATTACGCCCAGCCTGCAGCATCCCTATTAAAACAAGAGAAAGCTGCCATCCACAAGCACCTGCGTCTCAGGGATCTGGAGGGAGCACTACAGAGGAGGAGGCCATTTTGTGCCATCACCGCTAGCAGACCATGGTCTGGGCTGGCCTCCAAAGCAAACATTAACCTGGAGCACAACACCTGCTCCTTCACTGACACCTGCTCCTTCACTGGCTCGAACACCTTCCAGACTGTAGCAAGTGCTAAAACAATATGCAAATGGATACATTTTCCTCCTAGACAATGTTTGCAAGAGTAAAGCTGGAAGAAAGCTTAATGACAATATCTCTCACACAATAGTTTCACTTTAGACATTTGGGAGAGTATATAGTAGGCGTAGGAAACCAGGAATTATCAAATATTTCACTTTCAGCCTGACTTGACTTTGTTCACAAATTAAAATAGACTGTATCTAATTAATCAACACTTTATAGACTAAAATAAATTTTTTTTTTTTTTCCTGAGACGGAGTTTCGCCCTTGTTACCCAGGCTGGAGTGCAATGGCGCTATCTCGGCTCACCGCAACATCTGCCTCCTGGGTTCAGGCGATTCTCCTGCCTCAGCCTCCTGAGTAGCTGGGATTACAGGCATGCGCCACCATGCCCAGCTAATTTTTTGTATTTTTAGTAGAGACGGGGTTTCACCATGTTGACCAGGATGGTCTCGATCTCTTGACCTTGTGATCCACCTGCCTCGGCCTCCCAAAGTGCTGGGATTACAGGCTTGAGCCACTGCGCCCGGCCCCAATAAATTTTTATACTAACAGAAACTTGTAAGAGTAGCTGTATGTTATTTATTATTATTATTATCACTGAGACAGGGTCTTCCTCTGTCACCCAGGATGAAGTGCAGTGTCGTGATCACAGCTCACTGAAGCTTCAAACTCCTGGGCTCAAGTAATCCTCCAGCCTCATACTCCCATGTAGCTGGGACCACAGGCACATCACCATGCCCAGCTAATTTCTGTATTTTCTGTAGAGAAGGGGGTCTCACCATGTTGCCCGGGTTGGTTTCAAACTCCTAGGCTCAAGTGATCCTTCCACCTCAGCCTCCCAAAGTGCTTAAATTACAGGCCAGAAACCTGGCCACTATATGCTATTATTTCAACTTTTTCTTTAAAGGTATCAGGAGTGACTTACTGTTCAGGTATCATGTAAGATGTAAGAATTCAGAACAATGTCATTTATGGATGCTAAAAATTATCTGATAAATTTTTATATTCTAGTGGGGTGTGTTGGTTCATGCCTGTAATCCCAGCACTTTGGGAGGCCAAGGCAGGAAGATCACTCAAAGACCAGCCTGTGTAACATGGTGAAACCCCGTCTCTACAAAAACAATACAAAAACTAGCCAGGTGCGGTAGCACATGCTCGTATTCCCAGCTACTTGGGAGGTTGAGGTGGGAGAATTGTTTGAGCCCAGGAGGCTGAAGCTGCAGTAAGCCTCATGATCTCACCACTGCACTCCAGCCTGGGCAATAGAGCAAGATCTTGTTAAAAAAAAAAAAAAAAATTCATATTCCTGAAGAGGGCAAATTCAAAAGTTATTTCCTTTTGCTTAAGTGCCATATTTATTTCCACTTTGCTTTGCTCACCACTAAACAGAGTCTGGCACATAGTAAGTACTCAAACATTTGCTGAAATAATTTATTATTGACTCTTATCTCACTATATTCGGTATGGCACACTGGAGGAGAAACACATACTGTACTGGGTCCAAACTCAGCAATGTACATAGACACCATCTTCTGTCCCCACCCCAATCTGCCAGCCCCACTGAGGTCTGGTCAGCAGTAAGGGGCTTGGACCAGACACAATTCCTGACTAAAGATGGCATGAGTCTGAGAACCTTAAATGGCCACTCATGTACCATTCAGGCACACTGAATCTGGCTTCCCTAGAAAGGAAGAAAATCAGCTTCACTCTCCTTTCTTGGGGCAGATGAGTGCTTAAGGCCAAGGGAGATCAGCCAGACGTTAAATCAGAGGGAACACAAAAGGACAGCAATAAAAAGCAGGATTCTGCTTTCCAAACAGAAAACACTATTTGTGAAACAGTAACTAATATCAAAGATCTTTACAATACCACTATTCTTCTGGAAGGAGATAGCTCCTATGGCAAGGAAAGAATAGGAAGTAGTACTGTTCCTACTAAATATGCTAAAATCTGCAAGAAGAAAGTGAAGTTTAGCGCTTCTTTAACTCCTTTTTATCAGTCATCAGGAAATGATGTCATTAATGAAAATGACCTGAAATAAACAGCTATCTAGAGAATCTATTCATCAGTAATGGAAAAAGCCCCAGAAATTCTGAAAGAGTTTCCTCCCTCCTCTAGACACTATGAAATAAGAAAATAACCATTACTTTAAAATGACACTAGGCCAGGCACACTGGCTCACACCTTTAATCCCAGCACTTTGGGAGGCCGAGGCAGGCAGATCACCTGAGATCAGGAGTTCATGCCAACACAGTGAAACCTGTCTCTGCTAAAAATACAAAAAATAGCCAGGCACAGTGGTGCATCCTTGTAATCCCAGCTACCCGGGAGGCTGAGGCAGAGAATCATCTGAACCCAGGAGGCAGAGGTTGCAGGGGCCTGAGATCATGCCACTACACTCCAGCCTGGGTGACAGAGAGAAACTTTGTCTCTTAAGAAATAAATAAATAAAACGACACTGGAATAAATTTAACAGAAGCAATGCAGAGTATGACGTTTAATTATCTTGACAATTAAATAAAATTTTAAGAGTATGTTTCTTTTCTATTTGTGATAAGCTAGCACCAGTCTTATTACAGTTGATCAAACAACCTACAGCCTTTCAAAAATATATAAAGAAGAATATGCCATTTTTGCTATTTCTTAGCATAGTTATGTGATTAGGATGGCGACTTCTGGTTTGCAGAAAAATATTAAGCAGCAGTCCTTACTCATTATTTGAAGGAATACTATTTCTGCAGTCTAAAAAATACTATTACCGGCCGGGCGCGGTGGCTCAAGCCTGTAATCCCAGCACTTTGGGAGGCCGAGGCGGGTGGATCACGAGGTCGAGAGATCGAGACCATCCTGGTCAACATGGTGAAACCCCGTCTCTACTAAAGGTGCAAAAAATTAGCTGGGCATGGTGGCGTGTGCCTGTAATCCCAGCTACTTAGGAGGCTGAGGCAGGAGAATTGCCTGAGCCCAGGAGGCGGAGGTTGCGGTGAGCCGAGATCGCGCCATTGCACTCCAGCCTGGGTAACAAGAGCGAAACTCCGTCTCAAAAAAAAAAAATACTATTATTACCATCAACAAGAAAAAGTCCTAAAATAATTTAAGATCCTGAAAAATTTTTTTTTTTTTTTTTTTTTTTTTTTGAGACGGAGTTTCGCTCTTGTTACCCAGGCTGGAGTGCAATGGCGCGATCTCGGCTCACCGCAACCTCCGCCTCCTGGGCTCAGGCAATTCTCCTGCCTCAGCCTCCTAAGTAGCTGGGATTACAGGCACACGCCACCATGCCCAGCTAGTTTTTTGCACCTTTAGTAGAGACGGGGTTTCACCATGTTGACCAGGATGGTCTCGATCTCTCGACCTCGTGATCCACCCGCCTCGGCCTCCCAAAGTGCTGGGATTACAGGCTTGAGCCACCGCGCCCGGCCAAGATCCTGAAAATTTTGATGTTTAAGAAAGGAGCATAAAAAAAGAAAAAAAAAAAAGAACTGAAGATCCAGCTGACGCCACTCAAGGAGGTTCAAATCAGGCAGAGTTAACGCTATGTTATCCTCAGGCACTGCCAAGTTTAATACATTGGGTGCATGAAGGAATATGCTACAGATTTGTAAAGCAAATCCAGAAGCACACTGGAGGACAGGGAATGCCACCCATTCCTTGAATGCCCCTTCTCACCAGCTCTGCACGCAGCCTTCCAGGAGAGGAGGAAAGAGTGCACAGTTTCTATAATGAGGAATCTTGCCCTTGCTTCAAAACTTCTAGGAAGCAGGTACATATAGGGTCTCCATGTATCCCAGAAGGTTTGAGGCCAGCAAAATTCCTTAGTTTAAAACTGTACATTATCCTCTTTGGGTCAAGCTGCATAATTTCCAATTATCTGGGTTAACAAGCCCCCATATTATCATACAAACCCCAGGCAGAGTAATTGCTGAAACCCCCTCTGGATGACACCTGGCCTCTCTGTCCATTGACATCATTCCTATCTCATTATGTGTACTGAAAAAAAAAAACCACGGTGCACCAACGTTACACGTTACCTACGAAGACACTCTCATATTTTACAGGCTTTATACTGTTCTTCCATTATCTGAAGTCAGCATGTTGCTGAGAAATACAGAAACAGAAAAATCACAAGCAATTTAAAAAAACTTGTATTTAAAGAGAAAAAAAAAGGATGTCAAATCAGTTCCCTCCATCCACAAAGAAATAAAAGTAGGCAAAGACCAGGATTCAGGATTAACAGCAGAAGACTTTATCCCACTTTACAGCTTTCTATTACGTACTAGTGGCATTTTTCAAATACTATCCCATTTCTATTTCTCCTTTTTCTCTTCTAAAAGTATCCCACGTCACCATATGAAACAAGGTTTTATGGAATAAAATTATTCTGCACTAGAAACAGTGAGAAGGATATCCTGGACTCTTCCTTGAGGGTTATTCTAATGTCCACCAATTCTCTCTCTGAGCAAATCAGACTGTTCCCTTGGACCAAAGGACTTTCTTGCCATCAACAACAGAAAGGCTCTGCAACAATCCTAAAGCATTGTGATTCTAGGCAATTCCCTTCACAGTAATGGTCATGGAAGCTGCAGGGGATGGGATCCCTGCCACTGACCTGTGCCGGTTTTTATTCTTTCGCTTTTTATGGCTGCTGTGGTGACTCCCTGAGGAAGTAGAGGAAGCAGCCTTCTGAGGTTTCACTCCCTGCACAGATCCATCCAGATCCTCTGGGTCCTCCTGGCTAGGCTCGTTTTCCTGATTGTGGAAGTCTGGAGAAGTGTCACTTTCTGTCCCACTTCCTGGCTCCCCTGGAGGAAATAAAACACAAGTTTCCGAACACATCATCAGTACTCCTCAGGCAATCTGTCCATCAACATGAAGTATTTTTTGAACACTAGTAGGTAGAAAAAAACCATTCCTTATCCTCTAATTGACAGAGAAGATACACACAAAGGATCAAAGTTACCAGAGGTCCTGAAAAAGCATGTAATCTGAAACAATGTAACCAAAGGGTAACAACTCTAAGGGTAGCTGGGAAACAGGAACAGCCAGCCAGGATAATCTCACTGCATAAAGATTATTTAACCACAGACTACATTAATGGGATTCATAATTATGCAAAAAGCATTACTAAAACATCAGACAGGACTCCAGGGGAGTGAGGGATGATCTTGGAAAAAGTGTCTATAGCTGGCTCTGGTTTCTTCCCCAAACTATATGGGAATCCTTTTTATCCAAAACAAACAAACAAAAAAAAACAGAGGGAAAACAGAGCCCACTCCGGAATTACTCTGATAAGTTTTTTCTTTTTCTTGTTTAACTTTTAAGCTCTGTTGGATTTGAAACTAATGTGTCTTTTTTTTTTTTTTTTTTTTTTTTTGAGACAGGGCCTCACTGTGTCACCGTCTCACTCTGTCACCTAGGCTAGAGTGCAGTGGCAGAATCTCTGCTCACAGCAGCCTTGACTTCCTGGGCTCAGGTAATCCTTCCACCTCAGCCTCCCAAGCTGGGACTGCAGGTGCCCATCAGCATAAGCCCGCCTAATTTTTGTACTTTTTGTATAGATGGGGTTTCACCATGTTGCCCAGGCTGGTCGTGAACTCCTGGGCTCAAGAGATCCACCTGCTTTTTGGCCTTCCAAACTGCTGGGATTACAGGTATGAGCCACCACACCCAGCCTGATAAGTTTTATTTATGTATTTATTTTGGGACAAAGTCTCGCTCTGTCACACAGGCTGGAGTGCACTATGATCGGTGTGATCCTAACTCGTTGTAGCCTCAAACTCCTGGGTTCAAATGATCCTCCCATCTGAGCCTCCCCTGTAGGTGGAACTACAGGCATCTGCCACCAAACTTGGATAATTTATTTTTTATTTATTTTTTTTTCTTTTTTAAAATGGGGTTTCACCATATTGGTCAGGCTGGTCTTGAACTCCTGACCTCAGGTGATCTACCCACCTCAGCCTCCCAAAGTGCTGGGATTACAGGCATGAGCCACGCACTCAGCCAAGAATATTTTTAAAACACAGTAATAATCTTCAGCTGACACAAATTCTCAATTTTAAGTCATCACTGTAAATACATTAAATAAATATAAGTTCAGTAACAACTTGTATAAATATATATATTTTTAAGACTATAGATTAGGCACAGTATATCATGCCTATAATCCCAGTGCTCTGGGAGGCTGAGGCAGGAGGATGGTTTGAGGCCACGTGTTCAATACCCGCTTGGACAACACAGCCAGACCCCCATCTCTACAAAAACAAAAATTAAAAATTAGCCAGTGGTATCACATGCCTGTAGTCACAGCTGTTCAGGAGGCTGAGGTGGGAGGATGACT